GTCTTTATATACTTTTCCAAGCTTTCTTTCAGTAACTCCTCCATTACATCTCTACCAAATGACAAATGTCCCCTTGTGGTTCTACCCTACTGGTCACTGACCACAGCCAAAGGATTCACACGTGTTCCATTTCTGCAGAGTTCTGCCCACCCCATTTGACAAGAATGAGTATCTAGTAGAGTGTTGGTTGGCCAATTCTGCAATTCTCTCTGTGGAGTAGCAAACGTTTTTAGCCAGTTTAGTGAGCCCTAAAGAACAATGATTCATATCGACAATTTAGACAATAGTTCCAGAAGACTTTGACCACCTGCTCCCGGGAGGCCCTGTCCTTCAGAAATGCTAGGCCCTCTACCTTGATCACAGTGCCTTCTGGAAGAAAAGCAGCACAGAAAAACTTAGAAGCATACCTTAGAAGCTGTGGCCAGTAGCATCAAAGAGAGACTTTGTCATTGCATCAGAAATCAACATAAGTATTTCTAAATATTGCCTTCAGTGATAATGTGGTTACTTGGGATGCTCAGGGTAAGCATGGGTTCTGTGTTGCTGTAAAGACACAGGGAACGTCTGCCTCTACTTCTCTCTCAGGTACTTCCTCCCCTTCCTAATGCACTCTACCACAGAGATCACACTGAGATTCACTGGCATTTTCAAAGCCCTAGAAGATAATTAACAATATCCATGTGAGCAGAAACTGCCAGCTGTTCCGCAATATTAATTCTCCTCTTCTAAATGGTAGAAGAAAATTAAATAAGGCCACAACCACCCAGCTAGAACCTAAGTGCCCCAGCCTGCCTTATAACCACTTCTGGACAATGAGCTGCTAATGACATTTGTGAGTTCCAGGTTGTGTTCACAAGATAAATATGGCTAACAGGAAGGAGAAAAGGAGAAGTTAGCTCTACCCGCTAAACTTGGGGTTTCCCTATGACTGGCCCAGATGGCCGTTCCAACACTCTCCTGGACTCTGTTCAAAGTGAGCCTCAAATTAGACAAGTATAGATTCTGAGCATTTGAGAATGATACCCCTGCACATGTGGGCACAAGCACACCGTAATTGCTTCCATAGAGACAAGCATGTAAATCAGAGGCCATGACCATGAAAGGATAGGTGGGTAAGACTGAGCTTATTTTGAGGTAAGGGAATGGAGGCTATTAGAAAAGAGAAGCAAAGTGCATACGATAGAACAGCTCACAAAGGCAATGTCACTGGAGTCACATGACGATCAAAGCTTTGTTATCGCTTGGTAACTGTGGATGATTGTAGATAATGATATCAAGAGTTATTTATAGACAACTTTTCTCAACCCCAAACAAGAGATGGCCTCCCAAGCCTACTTGAAGGGAATTATCAAGCTAAATTTTGGACTAAAAGAACATTATTAGCTAAAGTGACACAGCACTTAATGATGCATCAAGTAAATCAGAGGAAGTCCTCAAGATATAAAGGTTAAAATTAATGTGTTCTAAGTGTTGTATAGAATTAATTCACTTACTGCAGCAACCCTATAAGATCAGTGTCAATATTGTCCCCATTGCTGAGATGAGGAAACAGAACCAGAGAGGTTACAGTCACAGTAAATGGCAGAGAGGGGACAGTAATCCAGGTGGTCTGGCTCTAGTCCCTGATCCTAACTACTCTGCCACTGCCTTTCCAAGAAACACAGCAAAAGATGGATTTAATTTGGCAACCTGATTAGGAAGACCTTTGAACATTTTTCCTTCAACAATTTGGAACTCGTAAGTAAAGATGAAACTCACAAATAATGAAAATTAAGTAGGAAAGCCCCAGGAGAGCAAGATAAGCAGCATTTGACTTCAACACTACAACAGAGGAAATTTTGATAGTGGGACAGAGGAAGCAACAATTAAAGACTCAGGGTTAGGAAAGCCTATTCAAGGCTCTCATCAGCACACAGGTTAATCTTTTCATGCCTTAATCCAGGAAGTCCTTTAGCTGCAGACTATTTTCCTAGACATTTACGTAAAAGATAATCATATTATGTGGCAGGCATTTTGGTAATAACAATACACAAGCATTTGGCAGAAGAATGAGTTCTACCTCCAGCACACTGGGTACACATTTCAATAGGAACAAATAGCTAGAGCTATGACATTAAGCCTGAAAAAGACACTGTGTTATCAAAAAGAAACTTCAAAAAATGATAGGTGCGGAGCACTTTCTGCCCTGTTTTTGCTCTGACCCAAGGATATGGCCAGTTCCCAGTGAAGGGACAATCTGAGTGGGATGTGGGGTACGGATCCATGGACCATACTCAACTATCATAGTGAAGGAGAAAGAGGACATAGACAAGTGCCAAATGGAGACTCAGACCTAACTAATGTGTTCTTGATGGAGCCAAACCATAAGTGGCCTCTGGTACTAGATCAGATTAGGATTTATTTATTTTTTTTTATCACAATAAGCAGCGGTCAGTCAAAGATTTCCTACTGTCTTCATTTCAGGCCATATATAGTGCCAAGTGGTACCCAGACATTAACTGCAGGACTCCGGCCTGCTTGAAGACGGAATCCTTGGTTGATCCTCAACTGAACAAGTGGTCCAAAGCCTCGCAGCTGCGAGCTGCTCCCTGGTGATGCATCTCCACTTGTGGCCTCGTTCTTCCCAGTATAATCTGCCCATCTGTGCATGAAAGGAAGGTGCGGACGCCTTTATTCCTTTCATCAAGACAGAGATCGAAATCATAGCCAGATACCAAGGGGCAGAGTTCCCTCTAATTTTTTTTTTTTTTTGAGAAACACAAAAAGCAAGCAAGCATAATTTTATTATAAAGAAGAACCTTAAACAAGAAGTTTATAGGAATATAACATTTTTTTCCAACCTTATGGTAGATGCAGCCTCATTCCTGAGAAGAGGCACACAGATCTCATATTGCTTTTAAGTGGAGAGAAAGAAATCCATAAAAATTAAAGAAAAATTAAATTAAAAATTAAAAAAATATTTAGACATTTTGAAACGGTGCCAGTGTAAAGAACTCAGTAATTTAGTAAATCACAGAAAATCCCCAAGATAAATAGGTTAAAATTAATGTGGTTTTAAGGAATGGAGCCATCAGCTCTGTCTGGGAGAACAATTCTCACTAAACATTTATCTCAACCTATATCTTAAATTTAATGCAAGTAATGCTTCAATCTATCAACTGCTTTACAGTGAACCTGGTTGGCACTTTGAGGCTTTCCATTTCATTTTCCAAATAATTTGATTCTCTATAGTTGGGGTCAAATATATTGTGCAGTGTATTTTATTTATTCACTTTTTTTTTTAAGCTTTAAAAGCTCAACTATTTAAAACGATAACATTAACACTTATTTCCCATTTAACTGAATTTTGTGGGGGGTGCTTGGTGAAAATAATAGCAGCAAAACACCATTAACATTTACCAGCTTTTATTATGTGCACTTATTATACCAGGCACTTCACCCATATTATTGCATTTATAGTCTTCACAATAGGCCCATATTTTAGGTATAATTATTATCTCTATCTTACAAGTGAGGAGACTAAGGCTAAGAGAGGATAAGAAACTTCACCAAGGTCACACAGTAAGTGGCAGAGCCAGTAAACAAACCCAGTCTTAACCTCCCTGGCCCCAGTCTAGCTTTGTAAACACATTGGGAGGGGAATAGAAATTGTACCCCACTCCCAGTGTGATACAGCACTGAACATTCTTTTTTTAAAGATTTTATTTATTCATTTGACAGAGAGAGAACATAAGCAGAGGAAGGGGCAGAGGGACAGGGAGAAGCAGACTTCCTGCTGAGCAGGGAGCCCGATGCAGGACTCAATCCCAGGACCCTGGGATCATGACCTGAGCCGAAGGCAGACACTTAACCGACTGAGCCACCCAGGCGCCCCAGCACTGAACATTATTTTCCTCAATTTCACAGAGGATAGTTTATGTGCTCTTCAAATTGGTATGAATTCTATTTAATATATGACTCCAGTTATAGCTGTGTGATTTTAGGCATCTGATGGAAAATTAAAAACCCAGCCAGCCATCTAAGAACCTCATCAATGTAAATTACTCGCACACATAACAATGCTTAGGTGCCTGGGAATTTTTATTCTGCACCTGGTCGTGTGTCATCCTAACATCCACGGAGACAAATTCCAAACCAAGCAGTTCCAGAATTTAAGATGACATTCTAGAGGATTTCAGTCACCATATTTTCCAGCTTAAAACCACAGCACACAAACTGATAAGAGTATGTGTGTTTGTGGGAATAACCAGGCAGAAGATTTGAAATCAGACCTGAGAAAATCAGAAACTTCTGCTAGCTGTTTACAGTCTTTCAATATATGGGCCCCTGTGTCCATGTAAGGAAGAAAATGAACTCACTAGAAGGAAGAAATTGCTTTTTTGCCCTCATAAAATCTTTGCAGAGGTGGCCACACATCATCTATGCAGACCTCAAGCTGTTTTCTATGCCACATGACACCCAAGTAGGAACCGTTCTCTTTGAGCCTAATAGAAACAATGACAGAATGCTCTGATCCTCGATTTCTGAGCATTTTCTCATTCGGTATTCTCCAGGCACACACCCCACTGAGGCAAATAGGGCAACTCTATTTAGTGACATTACTCAAGAGTAACCACAGAGTCAGGTACAAGCCCGGTTATCCAACACCCATCCAGCTGAACACTGCAGCACTCTGTTTGCCTCTGTCTCGAAAAGCTAAGCTATTCAATCATCAGGATGGCATCCAGAGCATTTTTGCTAGAAGTAGTGATAAATTTGTACCTTATTTATAACATCTGCCCAATTCTCTTTCCTCACCATCGGAACATGTTTTTTAAGAAAATCAGCCAAGCTATGACTTGAAAACCATGCTCTTGTTTGGTTGATGTTCTAGAACGTGCTCAGTGAGCAAATCTCACTACATGTTTCATCCACCATTATCCACTTGACATTGCAAGCGAGGCAGTCCCTCCACCACCCCCTGGGAAAAAAACAAGAGATTATCTACATAGGTGCCTTACCGTTGATACTCCAGATGCCCAGATGTGGGATCAGGAAGAACACCCCACACAATTTCCCAATTCCAAGCATGCCAGGCAACGTCTTCATTTCCTGTGCATATCAGGGACAGAAAAACTTCACAGGTAGACTTCTCTTCCTCCCTTGAATTCTTCAGGATTGGACCAGGTTACCTACCTCAGTGACATCAGTGAAATAAGTAAAGAAGAGCAAAGAGGTGGCAGAAGACAGTAGGAAGAGCCTGAATCGTGTGTGAAACGAAGTGAACAGAAAGACGATGTGGCACTATATTCTGTGGTTTTTGCTGCTCGTCAAATCGGCTGTTCACTTTCAAACACTGATCTGCAGAGCGGCTCCGTCCTTAACTTCTCCTTCCGCTTTACCACCCTTTCTGCCCCACATTGAGGTTTTTCTCATTCAAAGTTCAGTGACATGAAAAATCAAACTCTAAAGAAATCTATATTGTTGCAATCTTTAGGTTGAGATTTTAATCAAATTAAGGTCAGGGAATTCATGGTAAAAAGTACCTATGGTAAGTATGCCTTTTCCCCCTTTTCATAGCTTGAGATTATGAAACTTCTTTTATGTAAAAGGTTTTAGATTTTTCTTCCTAAACATCATGTCATGGCAAGATTAGAATGCTTATTGTGATTATACCAGTGATTTATCTGAGGTTATGGAGAATATGAGTGACAGGAAGCACTTCCTCAACAGATGAGGGAAGGGCAGGTGTCTTTAATCTGTAGATAAATATCAATGGAACAAGATCATCGTTAATATTAGCTACATGTTCTCTCTCTAAATAATAAAGTTCCGAGCTAAATGACATCTTGAATATCAGTTAAAAGAAACTTTCATTTTCAACATTTTTCATGTGGGTATTGTCTGGATGAAATAGAAGAGAAGCAACAAAAGGAAGAAATGGAAAAGTTCAAGATCAGATAGCTCAGGGTCAAGGTGGACTGTTTTCTCCAAGGCCACTTGTAATAATTAGCTGTGCTTCTAATTTTATATATTTATATATATATATATATTTAAGAATATATATATATTAAATATATATATATATTTAAGATTTTATTTTTTTATTTGAGAGTGAGAGAGAGAGAGCATGAGTCAGGTGAGGGGCAGAGGGAGAAGCAGACTCCCCACCAAGCAGGAAGCTGGACCTGGGGTTCAATTCCGGGACTCCAGGATCATGACCTGAGCCGAAGGCAGACGCTTAACCAACTGAGCCACCCAGGCACCCCTGTGCTTCTAATTATGGGAGCTAATTAAATTCACCCATTTGAGATTCCAAATGGGAAATCTAGATTTGTGATATCTGTGGTCATTGACAAAAGCTGATTTTGTAAGTCTTTCTCCTGGAGGCTGGTGATTTTCTTCCAAGGCCGAACTTCAATGGTTCTAAGTACATAAGTTTAAAAAAACAGTTATCGGGCGCCTGGGTGGCTCAGATGGTTAAGCGTCTGCCTTCGGCTCAGGTCATGATCCCAGGGTCCTGGGATCGAGTCCCGCATCGGGCTCTCTGCTCCTTGGGAGCCTGCTTCTCCCTCTGCCTCTCTCTCTCTCTCTTTCTCTCTCTCTGTCTCTCATGAATAAATAAATAAAATCTTTAAAAATAAATAAATAAAATAAAATAAAAAAACAGTTATCATTGTATTTATTGATTCAAACAGATACTGTGTGATCGTTGGAGGCCCCCAGATGAATGATTTTAAAGAGCTCAGTGAACCAGTACTATAATTTCCTCTTATCTGTCTTTAGTGTTGGAACTGAAATATTCATGTATTTCAACCACCGCAGTTTAACACAGAGCAACTGTACCTTAGGACATCCATTACTTACCGAGGAAACATCCTGTGAAATATTTACCCAGCATTTACACAACTTTCTTTCCCATGCTCAAGGTGGAATGCAAACTTCCTGTGGCAGCTGAGGCAAGGCTCATGATCCACTTAAAATGGTCCCAGAAGTCAAAAGTCATATAGCCAAGGATCCCAAGATATTGTCCCAAACCAGAGACAAGTCATATACACTTTGTTTATCTCAGCATAAAACCTTTTTGATCTACTATTTTAAGGATTTTTTTCATATTAAAAAAGCCCATGCTAATGAGACAAAATTTGGGAAAAAAACCCAAAAACCTTATGTAACATCTAGTGTATTTTTAAAGATACCTATTTTGTTACTTTTATCACCATGACTGGCTCTTTATTCCTCCACAGCTGGAGTCCTGAGAGTCCCGCTGAAGACAGAACTCTCCCTCAGGATCTGACTCCTGTCTTCCTTCTAATAATAAAAAAAAAAAAAGAAAGAAAGAATCCTGGCTCCAAAGTTTGTTAGCTCAGTTACAAGTCAATTTTGCTTTAAATTTCTACTTCATCTAGCAATTACATTTCTATTCTGACCCTTGTCCCATTATAATTAAGTACTGTTTGATTAAAAAATTGTACTTTTTATTTAAATGTGCAAATTTAAAGAATTTACTACATTTTTGAAGAATTTACTACATTTAAAAAAGTGATTGCATTGTGTTTTAGGATCAGTTTTAAAAGCATCAATCCATCTCCAATTTTATTGTGAAAGACAAAAAGCAAAGTAGAGTTGGGCTTCTTAAAATTCATTTCCAAACATTTTAGGAGCTACATACAGAGCAAATTCTTCAGTTCACTTACAGATTCAGTTGCTTTCATGAATCATGAAGCAGCTGTACTTTCGCCAACGTTTTTACATCAGGAGGGTCAGAGAAACAGCAAACACAAAACAGATACAGGACCCTAGAGAGAGCTTACCACTGACATTAGACAACATCAGCCCAGAGGGATGAATCTTGGTTTTAAAATTTTTAGCACCCCCAAAAACATTGCATAGCTTCTGCCACATATGTAGTCCAGCATTTAAAACTTTTTCCATTCTTCTGCTTGGTGTCGTCTCCTCATCAATATTCTTGATAGCAATGGTTTTATACACTGGGTGGGATTCCCAGATCCCATCTATGTCCACTGAATGAGAATCTCACAGGATTGAGGCCACATATCCCTATTTTAAAGAAATCCCCCAAAGTGATTCTGGTAGCTGATTTGAATGGATATTTGGAAACCAAGAATGAATTGGTGGGAGACACGGATTTTGAGTCACAAAAGACTTGGTACCAAATCTTTGCTACTTATTAGCTGTAGAACCTTTAATAAATTCCTGGATTCTTAGAGTTTATTCTAGACACAGAGATGTACAACTTGGGTGCCCCTTCAAGGACAGATTTGCTCTTGGCTGTGGGGAATGCAGTTGGCAGACAGCTTCCAGGTATAAACTTTGTTAGTGACTGCCAAGTTGAGACTCACCTTGTCCAAGGTCATGCTTTTCCACGACAGCCTACATCCAGTGATGGAGAAAGGAAAATGTAAAAATGGCTGGCCATTTGGGGCTCCCATGGGATGCTGATGGGCAATACTCGACCCAGAGCTCCAGGTTGTCAGCCAAGGTTATGTCAGGCCTATATCACAGTTTGACTTCTTCCTCTGCCCCGTCGTGCTTCTGCCCCCTTACTTTCAAAGGTGCTGATCACTAATCTATCTCAATGTCTGCTTCCAGAGAACTAAATCTATTCCACATCTCAATTTCCTGTTCTCTAGAACAGATATGGTAATAACATCCATCTGTTATGTTGGTGAACTGAGATAATGTATGCAAAGTGATCAGTAAATTACATCTATAATTATTCCTAAACCAAAGATGGGCTTTAATTTGGACAAGATGGATACGAGGAAGCCCTATGCTCATAAGCCAAGAAGTAATGATGGCGGAACAATTTGAATATGTTTATTTGCTAACGGGAGTCATTGTTGCATGGAGATTGAGACTCTGAATAAGTGTGGTAACAAAGCTTTGATTAGCAAAGAAATGGAGCAGATTAAAGATGGTCTTAATTCCCCCTAAATTCACAAGGATGGATCAGCCATGCAGGGAGGCCTCAGGAGTAAAGGGCAGAAAGATTTAGAAGTTTTAGAAGGGCAGAAGATGTAAAGAAGAGCAGGAGATATAAAGAAGGGCCCACATTGGGAAAGCGCTCTAAACATCCAAAAGACTGGAAGGGGTCAAAACAGTGGTGTTGTCACAGCAGGACTAGAGGGCTGGACAGGTAACCAAGGCAGGGACCATTCCCTGAAACTGGAATACAGAAAAGGATCAGTCATTGGCCCCACACCCCGAGACAGGCAAAGAGACCAACTTGGTATTGAGCCTTTCCCCTTTACTCCTTGAAGTGTCCCTTTGGTGAGAGGATTGTCCTGCACTGTGAGGTGGATAGGGTTCACCCAAAACACAATATAAAATACCCTCAGCTGCAAAATTTAGCAGACTGAAGATGATTTGGGGGAAAATAAATAAAAATGTATGTACAGAGAATGCCCAAGAATGACCTTCTCCCCTTTACTTTCGTATTGACAGACTTGGAATGTATTCTGGATCTCTCATTTACTAGATGCGTGATCTTAGACAAGTTATTCAACTTTGAATCTAATATTTCCTTGAAACCTGTTAGTCTGTAAAGCAGGAATAATAACAGCTACGTGAAAGGTTGTTATGAGTATTCAATAAGGGACTTAAATAGTACTATATATTTGAAGTTAGCATACATGAAACCACATACCACAGTGCCTGGCACAAAACTAAGATCCTGACATATGCATTTTCCTTTCTTTCCTCCCACTCAGACAGAAAACTATATTGTTCCTATGTCTGGTTTATTGGTATCTTTGCAGCCTGGACAGAGAGAGAAAGTTGACTTCCCTTATATCCTATGCACCTGTGTGTACTATATTTGTGTGTGCTTATAGTACTTATTTGTACTATATTTTTGTGCTATTGTGTATGTTTATCTCATTGCTTCTTCATGAAACCAACTTGGGGATCCTTCATAGCTTTGCAAATTGTTTTATATTTTATTTTTGTGGATGTGTGTATGCTTTGATGTGCCTGCAGCTTCAGATCTCAGCCAAATATTAGAGTCTGAAGCCATTAACTTGTTCTTCCAGGAGGAATTGGGGGGGGGCTACCTGGAGAAGAAGAGTGGCATACCTTGTAGATTTCCAACTACAAGGAGCGTAATAGAACAGGAGCCCCAGGGTCTGCATGCCAAAATCCATCACCCCATTTGTGCCATGAGGCCAAGACTTTCAGCCAGTGACCGAAGACAATGGAAATACCAAGGCAGGTTCATTTCTGAGAAACAAGACTCCTCTAATGACAAACTATGGCTTAAGGACTCCCATATAGCCTTGCCAAACCTTCCTTAGAGTACACAGTAGTCTAGGATACTTCCACCCAAACTACTTCCCTCTCCCCATCACTAGGGATCAAGCTTACTTTGTGGTCTTTCTTCCATCCCCTCCATTTTTCTCTCATACCTCCCCATTTTTTCTCACAGGCATCTCTCTTAATCTAATCCTTACAATTTCCATCCTATTTTGGAGCCTGCATTTGGAGAACCCAGTCTAACACATTAATTTTGCATAGTTATGATAATATGGAATATGTTTCTTATTTTGCTTCCCTTTACCCCTTGTTCAGGGAGTAGTATTCTTCATAGGGGGGATCTATTCTGTAGAAGGTAGGAAGGCATGAAAGCTAGTTAGTAAAAATAGCAGGATTAAGTTAGTCAATTTGGGAGAAACTGTAAAGATCCGCCAATCAATGGAGAAAATATTGAAAACACAGGCAAAAGAGGCAGAAATGTGGAAAATTCACATTCTTTTAACTATAACAGTGAAAGTAGCTAAGAGCATTGTGGAAATCGGAACCAAAAAAAGTAAAAAGCTTTCTCAGCACTGCACTGCATATACTCATTCACATTTATGTTAACGGCAGAGTCCTCTCCTTATTTATGTGGCTTTTTGAGGGGAAAAAAAAAAAAACCCATGCAGATGAAGTAAGCAGTAATTTAAAGCAAAACACAATGGAGTTAGCTTTATTTTGGAGTAAGTTCGAAGAAATAAATTTGGGAGAAGTTT